ATTAGAAACGTTTTTCACATTTTAGAATGGGGTGCCTCAGGACTGTCTATAATATTAAAGGTTGCCTTGGGACATAATTTTAAAGGGTGCCTTGACTGGAAAAAGGTCGAGAAACACTGGTCTAAGAGACTGTATACCAACGAGTATATGTCTTTGCTTTTTAATGTGTAGTTCTGATGATAGAGAGAAAACAGGTGGCGCACACACCTAGTGCATCATCCAAGGTTTATTGTAGGAATGAGATAATAAAAACATACTCACAGGCGAAGCATGTATCTAAAAAGCATAGAAAAATGAGAATGGCCACAACGGCAGGCAAGGTGTTCTCACTGTCAGTGCGGTAAAATAGCTGACGTGTTTTCGGGGACGAATCCCTTTCCTCAGAGCTGATGACCAACCTCTGATGCTGATGTATGATGTATGGACAGAAAGACCCTCACTGTTGATGCATCAACACCTTGCCTGCCGTTGTGTCCATTGTCATTTTTCTATGCTTTTTAGATACATGCTTCGTCTGTGAGTATGTTTTTATTATCTCATTCCTACAATAAACCTTGGATAATGCACTAGGTGTGTGCGCCACCTGTTTTCTCTCTATCCAGTGGCTGATTTCCCCATCTGAGGAGGGCTGCACCCCTGGAACATTTCCTTTGGTTGTCGCTGTCCTGGTACCCTTGGCTTCCCTTTTGGCTGTGCATATCCTGAGGTGCTGGAGAGTACATACGATATCCGGTTCGGTTGTAGTTCTGATGAACATTTTATACATATGTGAATGATATTTTTCTAGCCTCTTATAGTCTCTGTACAGCAGAGCTGGAGTGTGAGAGGTAATAGGAGCACAAGGAACCAATCAGTCCATGTGCTGACAAGTAGAATGCTGATAGGAAGGGAGGGCAGAGTGACAGAAGGATGAGCTCATCACTGAGCTGCTCCTCTATTCACTGTCCAATCACAGGTCCAGCACAATCTGGGCTCATGGGAAGTGGGTTAAATGATGCTGGCCATCAGACTGAGGACATCTAGTGACAGAAAAATATACTAAGGGAGAAATCTCTGGAGTGAAGGTGAATATTGCATCCAGGTCTTTTTTTCACCTGAAACTTGGTAGAACTCAGTTCCACCACCTCTGACTCAGGCCCTCTGCTCTCTGCTCACCGCTGTCACTTGTAAACACAGAAGTCTGGCTTCTGTGTTTACAAATGACAGCTTGTCTCCAACAGCTCCCACAGATCTGATCTCATGAGCAGCTCCCACTGAGTGCAGGATGGGGACTAGGGAGAGGCAGGTGCTCCGGGTGCAGTTCAGGTGCAGGCACCCTCACTGGATGATCTCCCTGCAAGTGAGAGAGACAGAGCCACCTACCATGCGCAGGGAGGTACTAGAGCTGGCTGGTACTTCAGCTTAATAGAGCAACAAAAGTAAGACATGTGGAAGATGGTGGAGCTTCTAAGGAGGGGCGGAGAAGATGGGGGAATGATCAGGCTGATGAGGGAGCACACATACTCCGAACATGCACCAACCCTCATTATCACGTGACCGGAAGTGACGTCTCAGCCGAGGGAATCCCGGAACTAGGAGGACATGCTGGAAGCCACCAGCACCACCGCTAGATGCCGGTGACCACCATCTGTCCAGAGGTTTCACACTCCTTTACTACAGCGGATTCTTATTAATCTACAAGCGCAAACCTACTTATGCTTTGTGAGTGGCCTATATTACTACACTTTTTATTCATTAAAAAGCTTTTATACTGCACTTAGAGGGTGCCGCATTCCTTCCTGATCTTCCACAGGGCCTCTCTAGCTCGTTATTGGCCGGCTGCCTCCACTCCAAGGTGCATCAGAATTACCTATGGGACTCTTTCTAAGGACATTTTATTTGTATATTTATTACAGTATATTGTTCATGATTTATTTTCCGTAATTCCATCACCATTGATTATATGCTTATACATACTATTGTATGCCGCATCTACCTCCTTAATCCGTCTCGGAGTGCGCCAAATATTCTTCTTGCCTTTCCTTGTGCTTGAAAAGACCCTGTTACCAACTTAAAAACTGCAAGTAAAAAACAGAGAAATTATCAAATATTTAAAATGCTTACTTACAACAATTTTTCTTCAATAAATTATTTTTTATTCACTTGAAATGTGTTTTTGAACTTGCTACCCTCAGAAGAGTCATTCCCCAGCACAGCTCCCTCTCTTCTTTTGTGTCATAGCCCTCTCTTCTTCTGTCTTGTAACTGTCTGTGTTGACCCAGCTGTTCTGCCCCTCCCCTCACTTTCCTAAATAACCTTTTATGTAGCTGTAAGGGAGGAGCAAGGTAGAATACTATAGAGCATCACATGAGTGACAGCCCTAAGTCAGCTGCAATTTTTACAATTCAAAAATTATTTTTATATTTTTGTACCTTATTTTTTTCATTTTTACACATTTTCTTTTACATTTACATTATGTGCAATTTTTTTACTTTTTTTACAGGTTAAAGCTTGGATAAAATTTGTTAAATGCACGCATAATCTTATTGGAAGTTTTTTTTTTTTGTACACTGAATGATCTGGCAACAGGATCTTTAACAGTGGAAGTACTTTTCAAATAAAAATGCTAAATGCCAAATGTCAAAGGTCTAAAATATATTAGGCACTTTCAGCTTCATTTAAAAAAGTTTCTCAAACAAAAATGTACATATTGCTGATCATAACCAATTGCATTACAACTGTCATTTCTTAGTGCAGGTTTCTAAATTATTGATTCGTTGCTGTGAGCGGCACTGATGCTAATTTTAGAAAGTTGCTCTTTTTTATTTATTTATTTAAATAAATGTTTTATTTATTCAAAAGTAAGAGTATAACGTTTAAACCCCATTTAGTCTGTGAGCTTATAAGATACAGGTAGTTGAGTACTGATGGGTCTCATAAAGTTACAATTTCACATTAGAACACAAAAAGGAGTGGATAGATTCCACAATAAACATTTCAGAGCAACTCCTAAATGCATGTATCCATGGGTCTCATTGTAGGTGTGATGTAGAGCAGTGGTCTCCAAACTGTGGCCCGGGGTGCCGGATGTGGCCCTTTGTTTGATTTTATCTGGCCTTTGGGGCAATAATATATCCTCACCAATAATGGGGCATAATTCCCCCACTGACACCAATGAAGGGGCACTATTCCTCCTCTGACACCAACGATGGGGCACAGTTCCTCCCAATGACACAAACAATGGGGCACAGTTCCTTTCAGTGACACCTACAATTGGGCATGATTCTTCCCACTGAATTACAAGAATGATGGAGCAGACTTCCTACTTCCATTGGCCACAGTTTGGCCCACATAGAGTCTGAAGGACAGTAATCTGGCCCTTTGTTTAGAAACTCTTTTCTTTAGCAACAGTCTACTGTAAGTACATCTAGTACAGCTCAGTCTGGTGTCTACCATCATCCTGTCTTACATTTTGTATCTATGGGGGGGGGGGGGGGAGTAGGCTGTATGGAAATGAGGGGCAAAGAGGGGGGTGCTGCGACCAACTAGGGTAGAGAAGGGGTAGGATAGATAGAATAAGGAGGAGGGGGCATACTCTGTCTCTGATGTGCACTGCCTTACGATTGCACCCTAATCTTTTCATTTTTTTCAATGAGTTGATAAGCACAGAACGGTAGAGTCTGGATTTTATTTATTTATTTATGTGCACCTAGGTTACTTTTATTGTGCCATCACACAAGACTGGAATCTGTTCCAAACACTTAAATTTAAGTACTGTAAATTAAAAGTAGAAGGTTGCAGAAATACCAAAAATAATCATCTAATTGTATACCATTTTGTTTCAAATGTTAATTCATTTAAATCCCGCATATCTGTTTCTGTAGGAATTTTATGTATCCGTATCAGACGATACAAGAACGATTGCTATACTAAAGGAACAGCTTCCTGAGCTGGAGAGGACAGTAAAGCAAATGTAAGCAGTGCACTTATATAATTGTATGTTGTATTGAATGGATCTAGAAAAGCGGCTAAAAGTACAGTTGAAATATGTGTATGGGATCTATTTTACTTGCCAAAGGACAGAGATTTACACACTCTGCCAGACAGCACAGCCAACCAGACCGGTGACCTGATGTTTTTTTTTCCACTGCAGTTTACTGTATAATACAGTCTTGACACCTTCCTTCCTCCAGGCTATAAATGGCTCCTAATACTGACACCCTCACCCCCCCCCCCCCCCCCCCCCACCCTCCCCCAGTTAGAGTGCTGTTGTGCATGAAATGATAAATGGCTGATATCAAGTCAAACATAGGTACTTATGCTAGCTGTATTTAAAATACATTTATTTATAGAAATTATATCTATATACTTAATATCTGTTTAAATCAATGCATAACTACATTAATTGTGCTGCTTAATATCTGTCTGGAATTCAGATATAGAATCCCTGCATGTGTCTGTGATGAATGTTTAATGCACTGATCTATTGCCAGCCCTTTAAGTGGAAATGTAACATTCCAGATACATTTACATGCACAAAAGTGATATGTGTTCTCTTATGAGTGTGAAGAATTTGCCTATCTCCTGACACTCATTACAGTTTGTTCTGCACAGCCTAGGAAACCTCTAGAAGGTTAGAATGTAATAAGGAGGCTTTCTCTAGTAATGGGTTGTGTTTCTGTTGGAGAAAGCAAGGTGAAGATATCTTTGGCATCCATGTGTAAGTTAGCACCACCCACTTTGAGCATTCCAGTCTGAAGGTACTGGAGACCCCACAGCCTACCTCAATGGCTCAGGGAGAGGTACAGACAAAGCAGTAGGCAAGACACATACAATTCAATGGTACAGGGGTTGAGAAGTTGTTGCTGAGACAGCCTTGGACATAGAAGTTTTTGTGGAAGCAACATCTCTATTCCTATACCCAGGCATGTTTCTTCTTTTTAAGATCAAGGGAGCATGGGCAAATTTTAAAGCTTCACCCATGCCAAGATCCTATGGCTATTCTGCTATGAAGAATGGGATTGTGCTATGATAGAAGCTTACAGTTCACATTAGTGATGTACATTAAAGAAAGACCTTGTTGCCAGAGATTTTTAATAAACCATTAGAAAAATATCCTAGTACGTCTGCCTGTTTAAGTGTTCATTGGATGAGGAGATGAGGTGGTGGGGCACTGGACCCAGGTGTAGGTGAGTATTCTATTCTGGTGATGCAGTTCTTCCCCCAGAGGAGCCACTCCGTTGAATGGGTCCTTCTGTTCATCTCAGTGATAATCCACCCTGACTGAACCCAACATACTCACCAACATACTTGTGGTTTAAAATGGTCTTTATTGTAAAGGTAAAAGCTCTGTAGGGGAGCAAAGGAAAATTGAACATACAACAAACCACAATTGTATAACACTGTAATGCAAACACAGTAATACAATGGATTCAGTGCACACATGCAACAGTACTATGGATAAATACAGCATTTATGGATGTCAGCAGTTACTGGGTGGCCTAGCTAAAAATAAAAAAAGCCCTCACTAAACCACTGGCCAACATACTCTGAGTGCAGTTAGCCAGCACTGGGGCCCTTGACCTCCAGTTGGAGTTTGCACTCCCAAAGGGCAGTATTTGTATTCCTGAAGGAAAGGGTCAACAGTGCAAAACTGACTCTCCACTAATATTGAATCGCGATAGCAGCAATAGTCAGATAGTATCTCATCACTCCAGATGATCTGAAAGTGTCCTCAGCATAAGTCCTTCCCTTCTCTTGGAGTAGTCTGCCTTCACAGTGCACATTATCTGCAGTAGCTTAGTCCCTAGCAGGCAGAATGCATTGCTCTCCTTACAGTCTCTGCTCAGTGCAGTATAGCAGCTCTCTTGGTGGACAGCAGCACAGAAACAGCAACACGATCTCTGGTGGTCACAGAACGGTAGCACAGGAACAGCAATACAGTCTCTGGTGGGCTCAGGACAGCAGCACAGTACTCACAGCTTTCAGTAGCATAGTCTTTGTTGTACCCAATATAGCAGCTATGCATGCTGGTCCCAGCTCCCTGTAGGTTTCACCTAGTACACCACTGTTGCAAACATGCGCATCAGAGATGGACGCGGTTCAACCATTTTGTTAGGCATCTTCATTTTCTCCCCTCATCTTTCCACCCCTCCCTCTCACTGAGAGGAGACATGTGGCCAGAGTGTGTGTACTGTGTATGGGTCACTGGCAGGGCAAGGCATCCCTAGTTCGGTGCTGAGCGGTCTGCGAAAGTGTAGCCTTACTCACCTAGGCCAGGATAAGGCCAGGGTTCCCAAGAGAATTGGAGCCTCACTGACCAAGGTGCCTGCGTAGTTTCACACCTTGTAAAACAGATAACGAGCCTTCCCAGAAGTTGAAAGAAATGCTGACCTGATGAGCCGAACTCAGTGGACTTGACAGAATCAGATAAACTCTGTTAAACTCCATTTTTCCACTATGTCTCATATCTTGGAATATGAGAGACTTACATAAAAAACCAGACATCCCGTCAGATTGGCTAGGAGCAGGCGAACAGTTTGATGGGTCATTCAATTATCTCGGACCATCAGGGGAGCCGAAACATAGAACTCGTGAACCGCGCAACATATAATTTCATAATTCATATCTAGATAATCCTCAGACTTGTCTGCATAATAATATACCCACGGGTAAATTGTTGCGTGTGCAGCTGGGAAGTTATAGACCAGAATATGAATTATGAAAGATGTTGGTTCCAATTTTGGGTTCTGCCTGCCAATCCCTCCCTAAACAGAGTATTGTTCAGTTACTCAGAACCACCCCCTGCTGGGAAACTTTAAAGCAGGCTGTCAAGCCTAAGAGAAGAGAGTTGAAGAATCTTCCATTTTTCCATCGTAACATAGGAAGATCATAGCACCCTCCGCTCTGACTTGGATCTGCTAAACCCAGGACTTTGGCAAGTACTTTAACCCTTTCACCTCTCTCTGATATCTCTTTACTGTGCTATGGTTCTCTGTATATTTATATATACATCTTAGTTACATCTTCTCTGTAAATATTTTATTGCACCTGTTTGACCCTTTTAGTAATAAATCTCTCTTTCTGAAAGTGTTGAACTGTTTCTATAGTTCTTAATTGAAATTTACGAATCCCTGCCCTTGAAGAGACGCTACTCTTTGTTTAAACCTCTGTATAACCGGCCTGCGGACCGTTTTATACAGACGACTGTTTCAATCATTATAGTGTTATAACTGATAACGCGAGTTTCCTCTTTCTCAAAAAGGAGGTGGTGGCAGTGTGGAGGGTTAGTTGCGTAATTAACCCGACCCAGTAACAATCGCTCAGGTTGCAGGTACATAGATTGTAGTCCATTAGCTGGAAAATCTTTGTGCAGAGTGCAGCTGGGCGTGGTATTGTTACGCACATCACATCGCGGTTTAGATCGGCCAGTCCTTCGGTCACGAGTTCGATGAGAAGGTCTGGGGTTTGACGCCGTGATCGTGACAACCACCATCGGGCAGTTAGATTAAAGAAGCTACTGGAATATTACTCCTGCACTACCTTCAATAACTCAATCATAAATAATGTAATACAATCAGGTGTGAGCAGCTGCCAGCATCAACATTGTGTTCCCACAATTTTACCGCAAATTAAACTAATATAATAAATGCTGCGCTGCTTCAAAGTGAAATGTGCAAAGGGCCTCTATTCTAGATAAGGGCCCACAAACTCTAAACAATGAGCCAAAATACAACTGTAAACCATAAAGTATATACAACAATGTGTAAATGCTGTAAAATAACACAGTGTCCGTCTTAACAAGTCCATACGGTTAATACCATAGAATAAACACAAAATTTATATGCCAAATGTCTCTCAAAATCCAAATGAACATTCTTGCGTGCTCCTAGAAACCGTCACCATCACTCTTAGTGCTCTTAGGTTCAAACGGTGCCACCTCAGTGCTCACAGAACTCTCACCTTCAATATACTTGAATGCGCCTAGAGGGGTTTAGTCACTGAGGTTCCTTCACTCTATGGATCCTCCAATATTCTTTGTCTATAAGGGGCTTTGATAACTTCCTCCCAGTCTGTCAACCCAAATAAGGTGCAGGTCCCCTTTAAGAGTCCTTTGGGGTCATGATGAGATTAAAGAAGCCTCTAGGCTCCTTGCACTGTAAGGCAGCCCAGCAGTCCACTCTCCTCCAGTCCTAGCCTCCACGTGTCTCTCTGTCCTCTATACACAGTGCAGGTCCTCCTCCTCTTTTCCTTTGAGTTTGTTGGGCAGGGGTTACTGTCCTGACCACTCAGCAGCCAATTAAGGCCTTCCTCTGCCATTGCTAGGAGCTTACTTTCCCCAAGACTGCAACAGCCAATTATAGTCCTCTCTTTCACTCTTGGTCTCCACCAAAATGAGTACTGCTCCCTCTGTGTGGAAGACATTTTCTCATCCTTGCAACAGGGAGCAATGTTCTGCAGCTTAAAGGGACCACCAGCCAGACTACACATCTTTGTTACTGTGTGTGGCCTACACATACAAAGGTCACACGGCCTGTCTACAGAAGCTCAGAAAAGCTACAGCTGGGATGTTAGGCTATCAGGAGGATGTAAAAGACTGTGTGCCACAATGGGTCTGGAAGTATAAATATAACGCGTGGCCATTGAAGGACATGAGACAGCTTTGCATCATAAAATGTGTCTGAAGATGTGCCTAGAGGGGATGAAAACAATACCCCAGTACTTGTGTTATTTCTGTTGACATATATTGCCTTGCATTCAGTAGCAAAACATAGGGTCTATAAAAGATACCGACACACTGCCTGTAGGGTCCATTAAACACAATCATCATGGCTTTGCTTGAATTGCAGGAAAAGAATATGTCACTGCACAGGATCCCAGCCATGTCTGCACAAATGTGTACCGACCATTAAACACCCTTCTGTAACATACAAAGCCACCAACATCTTTAGGAATAACTTTTTTTTTTTGCTAGGCAGTATTTCTCACTGTTGATTGGTATCCCAGAGCTTTTTCAAGCATACTCTGCATAATAGGAAAGCCAGAAGTGAGATATCACAGAGAGGCTTATTTAGTTTATTCACAAAAGTTACCATTTTATATGGATATCATATCTTTTATACAGAACGCCACTGCAAATCCACATAATTAAATGGAATCGAATTGCCTGCTAAGATCATAAGAAACACTTTGCTAAATGTGCTTTCTGATCTCCTGTGGCAAACAAACGCAGCCTTCCAAGAGCAGACACTTCAAGTGCACATTCCTATTTGGTTATGCTAATAATGTCATTTGGACTCAAATGAGTAATCAACATTACGTACCTAAAGTCTTCTGTGGCCCTCTGGTAGTTCTTCTTGAATGTTGGCCGAACGAGCGGCTGCCGCAGACTTCCCCAGCATGGAACTTCATAAGATCTCAGATGAATATTGTTCTTACTGATTTCTACAATTACTTTATTGAAGTAATAGCGACAAAATAATTCAAGTGCTTTTCACAAGTTCCCATTTGCAGAAAATAAAGGACTCATTATGTAATGAATTCAGTATCGTTCCCTAACATTTTCAAAGTCTTGGATTAATTTATAGTTTTAGCTTCTACCACAGAGAGTACTAAGGCAGATAAGTTAAAGAACTGGGCACAGTGGAAGGAGGGGGATTGTAAAGATTGCCTAATAAAATTAACCTTTATGTGAAAACTCAGAGTGGAAGCATACTACAAAATCATACAGAGATTTCTGTGCACTAGAAAATTGCATTAATATTTAAAGGAAAGCTGTATTGAGAAAATCACAAAGGCTGTTGTGGCTGAGCTCCCTGTGCAAATGTTGGTTGTCTGCCTTCAATTCTCTGGGACACTGACCTAGAACAAGTATCCTGATCAGGATAGTGGATGCAGAGGTCTGATCTAGATACTTGTCCCGTTAGTGGCTTAGAAAGTGCTAAAGCCTTTATAGAAACATCACAGTCAGGGAACTAGAATTTTCAGAAGAAGGGATCAGCAACAACAACCTCCATATCCCTCACTACAGGCATCCATTCAAGAAGCAGTAAAAAATACAAAAATTGGTGAATGAGTTGTATTCAGGGTTATTCTTTTTTACATATTTCAATTGGTTTATCTTAAAAGGCTACTTCCTCATTACATTGATGTTTTTAGTTATACA